CCGCGCGCCCGCCCGCCCGCCGCTCTGCCTGCTCTTTCTCCGCCTTTGTCGTTCTCTGCCACTTTCTGGAGGCGACTTCTTACCTGGGCGGGCGACACGCCCTTCCCCTCTTCCTTCCCCCCAATCCCTAGGCGTAGAGAAGGGGCAAGGTTCCATTGTCCTAAAACCAGCCCACTCTGAGTCCAGGAAATAATTATCTTTGCTGTTCCTTTCTTAATTCACCTTCCTGTCTCGGCCTCTGCACTGTCTCAGATTGCTTCCAAGTGTTCTAGAAACACCTGAAGGACAGTTGGTAGGTTAGTGATCGCTGGCATTGAGTCCAGAGTCTCAGAGTTTCTATTGCGTTGCAGAACTATTCATTTACATACATAAATTGATTATATGCATGCACAATTATATTTGAGACCGATTTTTCAGTATCCCTACTTCAAAATGCTGCAAGCATAAATTAAAAGTTTGAAAGGGTTTTACAAAAATCAGATTAGTATTGGGTTTATTTTTAAAAACATTGAGATTTAAAAATTAGTTCCAAACATGCTAGAAACAATTTGGCCAAAGTAGGGCAAATAAAATTAACATAACCCTTGATTGCTTACTTTGCATTCAGGAAGTTTCTATGAATTAAGAAGCAACACTTTTGTTTTTTTATAGTAAGAGCTCATTGCTACATTGGAATTTCTTCTTTCCCTTTACAAACTGCCATATTGTCATTTTCTACATTTTTCAGTGAGCCTTATTCTTACTGGTTTAGGAGTAACATATCTAGAAGTGATGGTGGTGGTGGTGGTGAAATTTGGTTCAGTGAAGAAATGGTACTAAAGGACTTGCTTGAACATGACTTCTCTGAAATACCACCTGATTTATTTTCCAGTTATGAGTTTATTTTAATTTGCATGTCTGCTGACTTGTTATTAACACTTATAGTGTTGTTATAGATAATGTGGGGCCTCCATGCAGGGAAAGTCCTATTCATCACTACAGTGAACCTCCTCCTGTGGCTGCACTCCTACAAGAAACAGGTCGTGTCCTGGGCTGTATTTAGCTGGTAGGCAACTGATGAGGGCTTGTCGAAAGAGTTAACCAATTCAACTTAGTCATGAGTGTCATTCTAGCAACTCTTGCAGCTGTGACTATGCATTACAACAAATCAGCAAAGAAATCCCAGTGGGCTCAAGAGGCCTGGATTCAACTTCCTGGCTCCAGTTCAGGCCATTTTTGTGGCCTGTGCCTTGTCCTTAGTAAAATAAGAGTCAAGCAAGAATCTCATTATCACTCTAATATTATTAAATTCTTAAAGTGTTTGTAGCTAATGGGGGGAAACTGGGCATGGTCAGGTCAACTTCTGATTGGATTTTCTTGATTGATGTGCTGCTAGGCATTGCCAGTCCACTGTGAGATTTACCAGCCTCCAAAATTTATTTCATCTTTCTATCACAACAAATCGAATACTTAGAACTGTGAGCTGACTGCTATTCCTAAATCTCACCCAAAGCTATTAACAATATTTTTAATGACAGAGGAAATTGAATTTTGTTAAAATCCATGATCAATAAATAAAGAATCAAAGAACCATCTAAAAATGTATGCACAGCATCAGTGTAAGATGCATCTCCTCATGATATTTGAGTGGAAGTTATGTGGTTAAGTTTTGTGGTTACCCCTGTTTTAAATTTTCAGTAGTGAGTTATTTCTAAAACATTGGCTCACAGTATGTTTTTAAAATCCCCAGTCTATTAACTTTGTTTCCTTAAATTTCTAAAAATGGATCATTGATCTCTTAATGAATAAGTTAGTAACAATTATAGTCATAAAAGAAGTTTCTGCATCAAATTTCAAGGTACATTCAGTGGCAAGCAGACCTTTGTAAAAAAAAAAAAGGAGTTCATTATTCTTTGGTTTATTTGCAAAACACATACAATGCATATATCACTGAAATAAACATAAGAAATGCAGTCAGAAGTTGATTTTAAAATGCAACTAATAGTGTAAAGAATGAACCCAATGAGCTGTTTGAAAGCTGTATGTAAAGGCAGTGGGGATAAAAGTGTCGGAAAAGACAGGATATTCTTTAGTGTCTCTATATATCAACACACACACACAAACACAACTACTTAAAACTATTGGGGATAACTTTTCCTAATTTTTATTTTATACATTTAACTATGCCATTCTCAAAGATGACTTAATGAATGGTCAAAATAATAATGCAGCAGAAATGTTCACATATTTCTAAGAACAATGTTTAAAGGCATGTGAGGGTTGCAAATATCTCTAAATCAATGTTTTTTTGTTGATGGAGCATAGAGATCTATTTACCTGGAAAGAGAGTTTTATATGAGTTAATAGAAGATTGTCCAGTGGTTATAGACAAATACCCTTGCTCTTCTGAAATTTCTCTTGCTCTTATAGAGCAGGAGTGAAACAAGACAAAAAGAAAGCAATATGATTTATATGGATTCACAAGTAAGGGAACATGAGCTATCCTGTTCAACCAGAAAGAGAATATGACATAAATCTTGTACTAACTGATAGAAATTACTATATGCAGATTTTTTTCCTGTGGTGAAAGTAAAAAATAAACAACTCTGAAGAAAAGAGAAGTCTAAAATTGTTTCTAAGGAGCTTAATTTAGTGAGATGAGATGAAATGGAAAGTACTGGAGGACTGGATGTAGCTTCATGAAGTTGGGTAAGTCTGTGCCTCGATCAGTTGATTTGTTGGACATAGGTCACAGAACTGATGGGTCCTTCCAACTTTAAATCTTCATCATGGTTGGTCAAGATCACTTATTTTGATCAAGCTATTCAGATGCTTATTCAGCTTCACAAAACAATTAATCTGCAAAGTAATTTGTGAAGTGAATTCATACCAGAAAGTGTTTCTTCAGAAGAAATTAAAAGCAATGAGAGCATAGAAATTGTAATTTGAAGTTATTTGAATTTTATATATAGGATATTGATTGTAGTATTGTACAAAACATAACTTATTCTCTGAAATAAAAAAAAAAAAGTCCTGTCATTTTAGTATGAGAAATATAGAACAAAGGGCAAAGCTTTAAAATTATAAAGTCAGGCCTCTCTGGGGGCACAGCCGTTTAAGGCACAGCACTAGGGGTGCGCTGACCCCTATGTTTGCCCGAACATAGGACACTCCAACACAGGAGACTCGGAGCTGTGAGAGAATGAAGCAGGAGGCTGGGGTCTGGAGTCCAAGTCTGTTTATTAGGACCTCCTATATATAGGGTATATATAGGGTCTGTATGTGCAGGGAAAAACAGGAAATATGCCCAAGACAAGGAGTGGAGTGCATGTTTGTACAGGGCCTAGGGCTTCTTGTAGCTTCTACTTGAAACAAAGTAGTGGGCTGCAGCTATTTGTAGGACAGAGTGCACTGTGCTCTGCTGACTTGTTTGTTGGCCTTACTGGGGAGTGTGTTCACCCATGCACAACATTAGCCAGGGCGGACAAGTACACTTGAGGTCCTGTCAAGTTAGCCACATGGACCAGTTTTGTATGTATAAATAAATAAATCTTTCATAAAGTCTAGGATAATCTGGAAACATCACGACTTACCTCATGCCACACAACACGGTCTAGCACATTTTTTTTTTCCTTACAGATTTATTTATTTATGCATACAAGAACTAGGATACAGGTCAGAGGAGCAAGGGTGGGATGGGCTGGGTAAGAGGAATCACCAGAGACAGAATGGGTGGTGGTGGTGGGGGGTAATAGGCAGGTATACTGAAATACACTGCTGAGGGGAGACAGGAGAAGTCTGCTGCGCCATGTGGATCAGCTGTCTGGCGGGGGATCAAACTTGTGCTGCAGTGGCTGCTGTTTAGTTTCATAGTGCTGTGTTTTAACCCATTGGGCCACCATAGAGATAGCAACTTTTGGTCCTTGAGTTAGACCGAATTATAGTGTGGGGAAATAAAGAGAAAAGATTTTTCTCTCTGACCTCTTTAACACATTTTGTGTAGGCAAGAATATACATGTGTTTGTGTGTGTGTATAATATATATAATTTATATATAATTTTATATATAATTTTATATATAATTTATATATATATAGTTTATATATATATATATAAATTAAATTTTTTAAGGAATGTTGAAAAATATGAGGACATACCCTTCTGGATAAAGCATAAGGATTAATGATAATTGAGGAAGAACTATTCCTCATGAAGAACTGAAATTTTCAAATTATATGAAAAAATAATGTGAGTCAAACAGAAAAACTAAAAGATAATTATAAATAAAAAATGATACATTGCCATATTATTTTGTATCTATTGCCTGAATACAGTCATGATTCAAGGTTAAATAAATTAGAATAGTCAGCACCTAGTATTTTTTGTAAATAGAACAAGTCAATAAATATATATTGATTAGTTGATTGAGTAAGAACTGCTTGCAGTTATTTCAAGAAAATCAAAGTCACTGGGGAAGTTATGTATGTAATTTTTTAAACTAAGCAAGTATGAATTTCATAGAAGAATAATAAAAAGCTAAACTTTCCTAATAGTCCCTCTTAAGTACTAAGCAATGAAATTTTATAGGATAAATTTTTTAAAAGATAATGGTTATATAGGGAAAGACTAAATTGGAAATATATAAAATATGGAAATATAAATGTCTCTGTATATATCTTGCATCTTTGTTAGATGATTAGAAGAGGGAAAATTCTATGCAAACAATTTGTAAAAATAAGCAATACTTTCCTCTAAGCCAATATTTGGACACATGCATTTTTATTTCTTGAAGTGGGTTCAGTATTTGATATTGAAAGATGTTTTCAAAAG